TTAAGGCCAGAGTTTGTTTTGTTTGTTAAGGCCAGAGTTTGTTTTTTGTTTGTTAAGGCCAGAGTTTGTTTGTTTGTTTGTTAGGCCAGAGTTTTGTTGTTGTTGGCCAGAGTTTGTTGTTTGTTTTGTTAGGCCAGAGTTGTTGTTTGTTAAGGCCAGAGTTTTGTTTGTTGTTTGTTAAGGCCAGAGTTTGTTTGTTGTTTGTTAAGGCCAGAGTTTGTTTGTTGTTTGTTAAGGCCAGAGTTTGTTGTTGTTTGTTAAGGCCAGATTGTTGTTGTTTGTTAAGGCCAGAGTTTGTTTGTTGTTTGTTAAGGCCAGAGTTTGTTGTTGTTTGTTAAGGCCAGAGTTTGTTTGTTGTTTGTTAAGGCCAGAGTTTGTTTTGTTTTTGTTAAGCCAGAGTTTGTTTGTTGTTTGTTAAGGCCAGAGTTTTTTGTTGTTTGTAAGGCCAGAGTTTGTTTGTTGTTTGTTTGTTGTTTGTTCGTTGTTTGTTAAGCCAGAGTTTGTGTTCGTTTGTTTGTTAAGGCCAGAGTTGTTTGTTGTTGTTGTTTGTTACGGCCAGAGTTTGTTTGTTGTTTGTTGTAGTTTCCGCTAAGACCGTAAATTACGTGGAGTGACGAAACCGAATCTGTCAATTTATTTCTTTTCTTGTCTGTCTTTTTCCTCGGTGTGAAGACTAACTTTGGAAAGAAAAAAAAATAGTGGATTGCAAAAAAGTAGAACACTGAAGTTTTGATTCAATCTTCGTCATGTGCACTTTCAGCACTTATGAAGGTGTTGAAAGGTGGGCGTGGCTTAAAGGTGGGCGTGGCTTGCGCTTGGAATTCCACATCGGAAACTTTCGAGTAATGTCAGATAAGAACAGGGAATGCCTTTTTTAGCTTGTCATTTTTACGCTCATTACTATTGTCATTATCATTGTCATTTTCATTTTTTTGTTTTATTATTACTACATTATTATTGTCATTATCATTACTATTATCATTATTATTGTCATTATCATTACTACTATCATTATTATTGTCATTATTATTACTAATATCATTGTTATTGTCATTATCATTACTATCATTATTATGTAATTAGCTATTATATCATTATTATGTAATTAGCATTAGTACTATCATTATTATATAACTTTTTTATTTTTTATCATTATTACTATTCTTTATTGTCAATACAGCGAAATACTATATATATATATATATATATATATATATATATATATATATATTATATATATAATATAATATATATATGAAACGTTTCTTGTCGTCATTGCCTCTCAGTTACTTTCCCGGCAAAGGATTCTACAAATTCGTTCTAGGGTGTATTTGGTAAAATAAATAAATAAAATACCCTGAAAGTAGACTATTAGGGTAGTTATGCGCCCCACTGGATGACTCTTAAGAACTGGCTTGTTACAATGTACAGGAAGTTGTGAAACCTTTTCTCCACGTCATGACTTTGTTTCTTGACACTCGTGTTTTTGTTACCTCATTTGTTCTTTAGTTATGTTGTTTACTTAGTTGTTTAGCTAGTGTAAGTTACATATATAATGAACGATGACCATTAGTATATTTTAACACCTATATTTTCCCTGATCCATTGAAGTTAGCTGGATTTTTCAAGGGAAATAATAGTCATGACAATACTGTCTCGTTAACTCACAGTGTCGTAAAAACTGCAGTCTGAAGATTTGTTTTATCATCAATAGGCCCCAAATCTGTTGGTCAAATTCTGTTCCCTGACACTGCGGCAAGGAGTAAATGTGTGTGTATACACAGACACACACACACACCTGCATCTACAGGGAGTTTGGGATAAATATGACAATTTACATACAAGGGAAGAAAATACGATATCTCGGCCAAAAATAAAAGATCTAATGTAAAAATCAACTAGATTTTGGCTAAGAGATAACAATTGACTTCGAGCAGCCGCCCTCAGCTTCTACCTGGAGCTTGCGTTCCAAACTTAAGTAACTGAACTTAAAACACGTTACTTTCTGGAGCTTAGTCTCTTAGAAAGATCTTCGAACGCCTCTTTATCTTGGCCAAGAGCTCGGCCTCGGCGTTGTAGACAAAGCCGTTGGCATCTTTCGAAGCCGCGTTCTGCACATAGTAATCCATGGAATTACGATCGGGAGAATTAGCAAGCCAGATCTTGAAGATGGTGAAGTCTTGCAAATTCTCTGACAGCCACTTCCCGGAGGCATGGCAAGGACCCAACTCCTGGTGCCACACATACGGCCTTCCAGCAGCAGCAACGCCAGCCGGGTTTCATTGTCTATATCAGCTTCATACACACAAACAAACACACACAGGCAGATGTGTATATATATATATATAGTATAAGATTTTTTTGATACCAAATAAAATATATTCCTTTACTGAATTCTAATATGGGTAGCATGACTTAACAGTCTTAAGGCTCATGGGGTAGACTGAACTCATTCTTCTGTTAAGCACGTGCCAAATCTACAAAGGTCATAGAAACATTCTTAACCACAAACTTTTTATTCTATGAACAAATAACAAACAAGCGGCATATCACAATGTAAATATTAGTAACACACATTACAAGAATGAAAAGAAGGAATGCTATCCACAGCTTATGTGAATCATATCTATGGTTAACTACACCCTCTCTTTTCCTACTAATCATAAATCAATAATCATTACTATAACCATAACAAAAAACAAGCGTGAGACTGGATCCAGGCACGTACCACCATTCTACCAGTATCTTTCTGTTATCTTCTTGTGTGGAATTCATGATGAACAGATTGCAACAGGAACAACGAAGGGAAGGAAAAGAAAACACGAATATGCCGAAGGCCTTTTCGCTAATGCTTCGTCAGGGTATTGTTTATCATGCCCTGACGAAGCTTTAGCGAAAAAGTCTTTGGCATATTCGTGTGTTTTCTTGTCCTTCCCTTCTTTGTTCCTGTTATTTTCTTGCACTTTAACCTTCATGATTTTCCTCTTTTATGCTTCACTTTATTAGATAATTCCATTTCCAATCAATTCCTTGGTATTGCCGGAACTGTCAACTATGACGAATTCCGTGTGTGCGTGTGTGTGTGTGTGTGTGTTTGTAAATACAGATATACTCCAGTTATGTGGAAATGTAGAGATGCACAAGGGAGGGAAATCGGTTAAATAAGAATCAAAGCATTTACAGGATATATATTATAAAGCACACCCAAAACCATAACCACAGCACCAGTTGTTTACATATACCAGACTACACATTGTGCAGTATTCATATTAAAATCCGGGCGGGACGAGAAGCTGGGAAGTTAAATCTTCGCGGGCATTTTGGCTTCTGCGCACTTGCCAGATGCGCGATGAGGGCACTCGGAGGAACCAGCGGGCAGCCAGATGTCCGAGGTGCAGTCGCCTCCGGGGTACCTGGGGAGAAGGGAGGACGGCAGTGAGGCTCGTGGATCCTTTCAGAAGCAGTCAAAAGCCAAAATTGGTTAATACATGGAGGTTTGCGAAGGCCTTCCGTGTATGTAGCCAGAAGCAGGCGTTTGACTTCTAAGCTTACTCAGGAAATCGGCACGTACTGACATATATATATATATATATATATATATATATATATATATATATATATATATATATATATATAATATATATATATATATATATATATATATATATATATATATACTATATACATATGTAATATACTATATATATATATATGTATATATATACTATATACATATGTATATACTATATATATATATTTTTTTTTTTATAACTATATTAACTCTCCCAGTCTCTAAATATTTCATGTTGTCTACACGTCTCTGTGCGAGACATGTGCTATCATGACAGACTGAACTTAGAACACAGGATGAGGTTCATTCCGTGGCAATAAAATTCAATCACATCTAATATATCTGGCTCGGTTTGGCGTAGAAGTAGCAAGGCACCAAGGAAGAATAACTGGCAAATCTATTATAAAACTGCTGGCCTTGGCTCAGGGAATGAACTAAGGTCAGGAACAATTCACTCTTCACTGTCTGAGGGTCAGTCTGGCCATCGACCTCGGGCTTGACATTGCTGCCTAGGTAGGTCACATAATACATTCTAGTTCCATAGTTCATCACACCCTATAGTCTAGTTCCATAGTTCATCATATCCTACATTCTAGTTCCATAGTTTATCACACCCCACATTCTAGTTCCACAGTTTATCACACCTTACAGTCTAGTTCCATAGTTTATCAATCTAATTTTCCCATTCTCCATAGCCTATAGCATTCTAGGTCCTACATTCTAGTTAGTTTATCACACCCTACAGTCTAGTAGTTCCATAGTTTATCACACCCTACATTCTATTCCATAGTTTATCACGGCCTATAGCCTAGTTCCATAGTTCATCATATCCTACATTCTAGTTCCACAGTTTATCACATACATTCTAGTTCCACATTTATCACACCCTTCTAGTTCCATAGTTTATCATTCTAATTTTCCCATTCTAGTTCCATAGTTTATCACACCCTACATTCTAGTTCCATAGCATTCTAGTTCCACAGTTTATCACATCCTACATTCTAATTCCACAGTTATCATTCTAGTTTTCCCATTCTAGTTCCATAGTTCTAGTTCACAGTTTATCACACCCTACATTCTAGTTCCACAGTTTATCACACCCCACATTCTAGTTCCACAGTTTATTACCAGTTAGTTTATCAATCTAATTTTCCCGAGCTGTCGTACCTGATCTCGTGGGCGAGAGAAGGGCCTTCCGGTTCCTTCCCAAAGTCCACCAGGAAGTCTTTGTTGAGGGTCAGTCCCCCGTTGACGGTGTCCACGTCCATCTGCAGCATGACTGAGCCCTTCCTGGAGTTGTGAGAAAGGTGTTGTGAGTGCAGTTGTTATTTTTTTTCAAATGGCAAATGTCGTTATTGGCTGTTTCAGGCTAAATCGGTTATTCGACGATTATAAACCGGGACTAAAGCGTATTCAGATGGGATATATG